TTTGATCCAAGATGAACTTTTATCACTTTCAAAATAAACAGGTTTGCAATACTGTACTGTTAATATTCTGACAATGGAAGTTATGATGATTAAGGGTTTTGAATTACAGTGGAACCTTGGTATATGACCTTTAATCCGTTCCTGATGTTTGGACTTATACCGAATAGGACGTATACCAAACCAATCTTTCCCATAAGAAGTAATGTAAAAATGATTAATCCGTTCTCATGTAAAAAAAATGGCTGGCTTTTTACACCTCGCTTTCCTGACTAGCTCCTGCTTGATTTTTTCATGAGATCAACATGTATCTTTTTAGCTTTCTAGCAAATAATTGCTTCTGATAGAATATCGCCAGCACACTGTTTTTTAGTTATCCAAGCAAAAGCAATTTCTCAACATGATCTAATATCTTCGATCTCTGTTTAGAAATTGATTTAACTCCTATCTCAACGTTAGCAGATTTAATAATGTCTTTATTTTTCACGATTGTCGATATCGTCGTTCTCGGAATACGGTATGCAACAGTTAAATCTCGAACACGCATACCACCTTCATATTCCTCAACAATCTCTTTTTTTTCAGTTTTATTGTGATTCTAGTCATTTTTTTTAGTTTTCTGTTGCTTTTCATTTGCCTTCTTGCAATTCATGAGTAATTAAAATAATAAAATGTTACTTACAAATTAAAATCAGAAGAAATTTAACAAAGTTATAAACCGTGGCACCACGAACGTCTAGTCTGGTCTAGTACACCGATACTGCTACTTGTTCATTGATGGCGTGTATAATTGAATTAAGTCGTATACCGAACAAAAGTCGTATACCGAGCAAAATTTGTTTCGTCCAAACAGGACGTATTCTAAAGCAGACGTATACCGAGGTTCCACTGTATTTAAACTATAGATTGTTTACATATGAAAAGATAGTCTGTTATTAAGTTTTATCTATCATTATCATTTACATTTCCCTGCTCTCAAAATAAACTACTATGAATGAAATAAGCACACCATGAATAACTCCAGCAATAAGTTTTAATGGGCCAAAACTCTTTTTGATCTAGTCATATAGATCATAAATGAAAAAGAGAAAACATTATAAATCAAATAGAACATGCATAAATTTAAACTGAGCATAAATAAAAATAAATAACATAATACAGAAATAAGATAAAGTACAAAAAAGTATTTTTTGTATTTTTATTTTTGTTTATATTATTTATGGTATATACAATATTATATTGTTTATTTTTCTGTTGAGTTTAAATTTATACATTATCTATTTCATTTAGAATGCTTGTGTTCTTTTTCATTTAAATTTTTGTGTTGTTCCAACTGATGAAGACCTATATGACTAGGTCAAAAACATTTTTGGTCAATTAAAACTTATTGCTGGAGTTTCAAAGTTTGCTTATTTTGTTCAGTTATTTATCTAGTTTCAAAAATTCTTATATAAATGGCTTGTATATTATACACATGGTACTATCCATGATTTTCTGGATTTCTCACGGCAAGTGCTAACCAGCTATTATATGAATGACATTCTATAATGATCATAAGCTGAAATGGACTTTTTGTAAGACTGTTTTAAGAAAAACAATGATAATACTGCAAGTGTGCTTCAAAATTTTGACTGTAAAGGCAAGTTTCCACATCACTGGAAAATACACCAGCAAGAGAAATGGAAAGTGATGCCACTTTCTGTCTAGAACTTCATTGTTTTGAATCTGCTATTATGTTTTGATCAATAGAAAAAAATAATAGTTATGATATAATATTAGTAACATTTTATATCTTGTTACATTGAAGAATAATGACAGACTTTGAGAAGAGTGAGAGAAAGTGAAAAATTGTAATTTGTTTTTAGAAGAGGTCAGGCTGTATTCTTTCCTCTATAATAAAATAGATAAAAAAAAATATAAAAATGTTAATTTTAAGAAGACATTGTGGTTAGCTATTAGAGACTGCATGCTACAGTCAACTTAAGTCTTCACTGTTTCAAAAACTTATTGTATGGAATGAAAACCCAACTTTGTAAAATAGTAATTATCTAAGTTCAAAGTTCAAAAACACATCTCCATGCTATATCTCTATATGGGCAAAGTATCCATATTTCTAAAATTAATGCATATTTCTTTGAGCCTTGTATGTTTCCAGCATTTCCAAGTAACAGATTTTGTTGGTGTTCCTAGTGGGTTGGATTATTGTTGCATCTTTCCATGCAAACTTGTATGCCCTACTGTCTGGTGTAGGCTGCTAGGACTATGCTATTGATGTTCTTTGAGCCTTCTATGTGTTGCACAGTTGCCCTCACATATACAGTATAAGTTTTCATTGGAAATGCTGGTCCTCTGGCAGGATAGAGTAGACTCCCAGTGCAGTAGAATTTTATTTTATTTTTTTAAATATTGAACATTGGTTATTATTGTTCTTATTGGTTTACTTTAAATTTTTAAAAAATTTTATGTTTTGTTCCTTTAATAACAATTATAGATTATGTTTGATCTGTTATTTCATTCAAATTCAGTATGCTTCTAATTAAGGAAGGCCTATGAATAGGCCAAAATGTTTTTAATATATTAAACTCGTTGGATATCAATAAGGTGTGTTGTTGTATTTTTACTCTGTTTTGAACCATAGATATTACACAGATTAAAAAAGTCAAGAGTATTACCATATCACTGTAGTAGCTGAAAAGATGGTATGTGTTACTTGTATATGAATACATGCCATTACATCTGTCCCTTGATAGTCTTACATTTCGTAATCGTATATGCTCAGTAGTCCGATGCATCTCCCATCAACGTACCTGTCCCTGTTACTTGTCTGCTTGCACAGAAGCATGTTGCGATGTGACTCTCCCCACCCAATTCTTACACGATGACACACATTTTGTGTGTTTTCCGTGAGCAGTTCTGTTCGAACAGTTGGAGTAGGGAAAATTGTATGCTACTGCAAGCAAAACAATGCCAAATATGTAATCACTTTCAGTAATCCGGACACTTTTGGTAATCCGACACCCCTTTGGTCCCATACCTGTCGGATTATCAAGGAACAGCTGTATTTTTGAAGCCATTTTTTGGTACTTGGAGAGGATGAACACAAAAACAAGCGAAATTTAATGTGACATCATCACAATGCCAGGCTGAAAATTTTTATTATAAATCAATATTTAATTTAAAATGTATGCTATTGATATCAAATTAGTGTCTTGCCCCTGTACATCATACTTTTCCTGATAACAACAGTCATGCCAGTGATCTATGTAACTCTGTTGTGGATAAAATTTTTGAATTGAAATCATATAACTATATAATATATGAATTTCCAGTATATACTATATGTAATATATAATATACGAAAATGTTTTGGTGAAGAAAATCTGCAGGTGCTGTGTATATATAACATATGAATTTCCAGTCTAGACTGGAAATTCATATGTTATTAATCATGGCCTCCTGCCCCTAAACTTTACTTTTCTGGTCTCCATTTTCATCTATCTAACACTGTTCTTGACATTAAGGAAGGACAGGTGGATGATAGTGGAAATTTATAGGTCTACAGTTTTTTTTAAGTTGCAGCCCAACAAACCTCATTTTCATTTTTCTCAGGAAGAAATACATCCAGTAGTTTTTGAAACAGTTTATTTCATGTATGGGTTAGAAAGTGTATTTCCTTTATCAGTTGATTTGGGTTTCATAATATCCATATGCATGTCAACAGATTTCACTTTACTTAAACTCAATATGGTATGGTTTTACAGCTACATTTATTCTTTTTTCAATAATTGAAGAGGCTAGTTATTTGTGACTTGATCTATTACTGTCCAGAGGTATCAGATATTGCACAGTTTTAGTGTCCTGGAATGGGAACAGTCTCACATCAACTATTATTATTCAAGGTAGATTCCACCATAAGTCAGATGATGTGTACAGCAACATTTCACTGAGAGCAGAGTGAAGACAATTAAAGCTGCAATATTAAGATCCAGAAAATGAAGTGATCATTGTATGCTAATGCCAAACTAATGATTTATGAAGGTCTTGTCCCTAACTAGTAGCATATAAAGAGTATTATATTGTGTGATACTCTTTATAGGCTAGACACTATATATAAATAGCATCACAAAAGCTATTTATATATAGTTTGTTTGGCTATTGAACATGCTTTCATGACTTGAAGTTTTATACCTATGGGATGGAGGACTTTATTCGTCAGTATTAGTTACACCATTAAGGTGTAATTAATACTGACCTACTAATTAATAATAATTAATAGCAATACACTCCATCCATTTCTTGTGCACTTACCACAAACATCAGCAACAATAAGATGTCTTGAATGTAATACATGTTTTTGTGCTTCATTTATTATATCATTTCTCTCATTTAGTTTATAATTGTTCTGAAACTGCAAAAACTATAACATATGTCCTATAATAATGATAAACAAGAAACAACCTTCCTTACTTTTCAGGAATAATTTTTTACCATAAAAACATTTTTGGCCTTGTTTAGGGGCGAACGCGTTTAGATTTTTATCTTATTTTTCAACGTCAACCATTTTGAACCCACATAACATTGTACTTATGTGAGAAATGCATCACAGGGCCTATAATTCAGGGAGTCTGTCTCTCCAACACAAACTTTGGACATGTAGTCCACCTTATTTGGCCATAATTAGTCTGATCCTCCTACCTTTAGTCATTCCTAAATTATGGGACTGATTTATGATTATAAGATGAAATAAACATTAAATAAAATGAATTTAGTTTTGTATTTTCAAAATATTTACTTATTTTTAAAATAATTAAAGCTTTAATACTAAAAATTTTTAAATTTTTATACATTAATATTATTTCTTGTTTCTGAAGTTATTATTTTGTATTTCTTTTAGTTAGTATAATTCCTTAATAATGCTAAGTGAATTACACTTAAATTAGTATTTAAATAGTTCAAAATTATGAAACTATAACTTATTTTTTTATATATATTTACTATTATAGTGTAGATAACAGTGAGTTCATGAGAAATGGAGACTTTATTCCTACTCGATTACAAGCTCAACAAGATGCTGTTAGTCTTGTGTGTCATTCTAAAACAAGGTCAAATCCAGAGAACAATGTTGGACTACTAACTTTAGCTAAGTAAGAATTATGTAAATTATACAACTTAAAAACAATTATTAAATGTTTTTTATTAATAACAAAATTAAAGTAATTCAGACTTTAACATAACTGTGATATTCTGTAGTTTTCTTATAAAATATAATATTTGTAGGTATTCAATAACTAAATGTAGGTATCTCTTGAATTATGCAATGATAATTCATTCTAAGAACATGCTACTTAGGAACATGATAAAATGAGTTGTTTTTACGTAGGTAAGAAGATGCCTTCACAAAATGAAAGACAATTATCTGAAATTTAGAAAAAAATTACATTTATTTTTTTCTGATTAGTAAATTTTTTCTTTAACCCTTTCTGCTCTGTAAATACTAAAAGGCTTTTACAATTTCAGTCAGATGCACCTATGATATGGTAGAGTCAACAATAAGCCAGATTTATGTTATTAACATAACAAGTTATGCTAAAAGTATTTACAGAATATTACCTTAAAATAAGCATCATCATCTGGTACACACCTTTGCCAATGTTTATACCACTCATTAAAACAGTCCTATGTGGACTTGGATACAGTCATTTCATTTTAAACCTCTTCTGATGATTTGAATCTACAACCTTATGATAAATGTTTTGTTTTGGTGAAGAAAATCTGCAGATGCTGTGTCAGTGAATAAGAAGGCTGTGGAAATACAAGTGTGTAATATTTTTGGTGTTGTGCCAGATATTAACTACAGTAGAACCCCTCTAGTCCGCCCTCGGCTAGTCCGTCACTCCGGTTAATCCTACCGTGGTCGGAGTCAAGAAACTTGTCCTGACTCATCGGTGACTCACCGTCCGTAGCGTTTTTCTGTGTTCGTTACAGTATATGTTTTACATTGTATGTACATGTACAGTTTTGTGTGTGTTTTCAACATGTCACGAGTGAAACATAAACACGTTACTCTTTCATTAAATGAAAAATTAGCAGTGCTACAAAAACTAGACAAAGGAGAAGATTGTTTATTTTACTTTTTTCTGATAATCCGACCTTTTTTGCATTCCAACCATACCCCCAGTCCCAAAGGTGACGGATTAGAGGGGTTCTACTGTAAAAGAACATGGTTCACTAGACGTTGTGACAGGGAACCTGACTTTTTTCTTACTAGATATGAGAGCATCTATGTTTTATCTTACTGTGTTGCATAGGGGACTCAGAATGTCACTATAGGAATCCTTGTTAACGAATTACTGTTGGGAACAGATTGATAATGCATAAACTTTCCAAATTAAGAAAGCCACAAGCATCATCATCATCATGGATTTGTTAAGATAAAAATTTTTTACCTTGGTAAAGAGACTGATTTCCTACATTGAAGAGGTAGGTTTGCTCTGCAAATTCTGTATGAAATACTAAGAGATTTTATTGCCAGTATCACTCTGTTTAGGTTTTAGCTATCTTTATTGACTGTGTTAAGGAGGATGCACACATGTGTTGCGGCAAGGAAAACCTGCAGAATGACGTCACTTTTTCTCACCGCAGAAGTTGATGCTTGTGCTGCCAAAGTTGGTTGAATTCTATCTTTTGTGGCAACCGCCGCCAAGATGCATTTCTATCAGCCAATAACAGTTCGTCTGGTAGTCAAGTGAGAAAATACAATCACATGGTGTTTTAATGGCAGAAAGTTTGATGCGGTTAACCGAGATAACTAACATTAGAATAAAGAGGAAAGGATAAATTTAATAAATTCTACACAAATAATCATATATAATTTAATTCAAAGAACAAAACAACTGAATCTTACTCAAAATAGTATTCTTTATTGAGAGATCTTAATCAAGGAATAAGCATATTTTGTACACCAGTTCTTTCTCCATCCATGAAAGAACTCTTTACAGAGGATCACAATGCAAATATGTAGCAATTTTAAGTTTTTTCTGAAATTTGTATGCTGTTAATTTTGAACCAATGATTGAACCTGTTTTTGATGCAAAATGTAACTAAGACATGGAAGTGTGAATTAATTAAACCAGTTATGCAAAAAGCTACCAACATACTTAAACTAAGTAAATTGCATTTTAAATTTCCATTTTCAAAATAAAAAACAGACTGTGGTTTAATTGCTTAGCTTTTCAAATACATTAATAGTAGCTGTGTGGTTTGGTTGTTTCTGTAAAATGATGATTGCACAATACTGAATTTGTACACAACTCTCATTTGATCACTGAATGTGAAAAGATGGGCATAATGTGAATAAAGAATACATTAGTATGCTTCTCAACTGCAAGATAGAAGTTTAAGCAGTAAGCTTGTCTTTCAGTATCATAGAATAAACATTGGAATTTGAATATTGTCTCAACAAATGTGGTGAGAAAAATTACTCATGAAACTAAGAAGAACCCTACCAACTCAAATGGCTTTAGAGTTTGGGTTACCTCAACAAAGAACAGCAAAATTGTTTTAAAGATTACTTATTGTAGTAACACAATTCATACAGACTGATTGATTAAATTATTGACTAAATTAAACATTATCTATAATCTTTGAGATTTAAATTAGGGTCAAGAAAATAATTTATATTAATACAAATTCAAATTAACTTTGACAATCTGAAGCTAGTACATTTTAAACTTGAAAAGAGAAAACCACGTGTGGTCAACTGACTTAAAATACATATGTTTCAGGGAGACCCAAAATGCACATTATGTAAATAGATGGAGTGTGGGCAAAATTGTTACTAAAATTGCTGAAAATGTGACATTGACATCTAGATAGCAAAACTGTTTAACTATATTTTTATGCTACCTAAGCTTGCAACATACACAAGTTTGTCTTTAGTCATTTCAATTTTTCAGCTAAAGAAATAGAAAAGGAAGAGTAAATGTGATATTTTCAAAGTATACTGCCAAACACTAGAAATGTCTAAAAACTAGTTTAATTTTCAAAAATAGATAATTTAATTTTTTAATTTTCCTGGTGTTCAAATAAAAAATATTAACTATATTTGGATTGTGAAAGGATGATGATTAATCATCATCAGAGGCATAGTTAGGATACTGTATGTGATCAATTCTATGGATTTATCTATCTTTGATCAACTCTATTTATGAACAAGACCAGTGTGACCTTGGCCATAGGTTCCAGTTGATCAAACGTACTAATATTTTTTATTTTATTTATTAAATTAATAGTAATTACATATATTATTGTTTTGAGAAAAATAACTTGAGATTTCTTGTATGTATATAAAAAGTTTTACTTTCACCGTAGGTTCCAAATATTCTGTTCTAAAGCTATATTTTATTATATAATATGTATTTATAATAAGATGAATAAAAGATATATTAACCTTCATATAAAGATGTAGGATAACATTGAGTTTAATGTGTTGCAGACAGTGTAATTCTGAACACTATTGTTTATCCTTTTTCTCTTTTCTATTATATTGGTGAGATGGTAGGCATTGGAAAAATATATTATGGAATATAAAGCTGCAATTAGGTTAAACTGTAGTCAATCAGTAGTTTTTATAAGTTGTACAAGTAATAATTGTAATATTGATAACAGTTTAATTAAAAATTTTAAAAAGGAAAAAATATGTACGAAAGGAAATTATTTGATCTTACATTTATAATTAGTACTAGTAATTTAATTTTTTTTCATTTCAATTAGAAAATATTTTTAGAAAATATTTTAAACAAAGAATATAAAAGGATTGTCATAAAGGCAATGATTTTAAAAATTGTAACATTAATGATAAAATTTTTACTTTGGAAATGTGCCACGTGTCACAAAGTTAGTTTTCCATTATTTTATAAAATTAATGCAATAGGTTTTTAAATATTGAAATTATTATTAAAAAACTTCTTGCATGACTTTTGTTCAGATGTTTTCATTTAGATACCAATGTTAAAATTGGTTTATGATGCAAATCAGTTGTCACTTTAATAAAAATATCGCCAACTGGTGATTTTGGCATTACAGTGGGTGATCAGTTAACAAACATAATCTGTTCCAAGACCATATTCACTATCTGAATTGTTCATTAACCAATTATCAATTTACCATAGATTTTTGTTGGAATTTGATTAATTCATTCTGGATACCAAAAAATAAATAAAAAATTATATACTTTCTTACTATGTTTATTTACATGTAATAACAAACTAAAAGCAATTTCTCCATTTTTTCATGGATTCTTTGTTTCTCAGATGCCACTTTCATTACTCCTTTATCTGCTTAAGTCTTTTTCATTATATTTTTCTTAGCTAAGATTGTATCTACTGTAGACCTGTTGAAGTCATCTGCCTACAATATCATACATCTTCTGCCCACTCTGTACCTTGGCTATTATCTTAGTTTCTTAGTTATCTTAGTATCCCTTGCTTAGTTTCTATAGTGAACACAGTTCTTGACACTCCACTCTCTTTAGGCCTTATAATATTTCAATTTATTTTTGAAATAAAAAGTTCAGACAAGCACTTAAAAAATTCAGAGAACAGAAATTAACTTGTGCATAAAAGGTCAACTGTGAAAGTGTTGTTCCATAAACCATGTATAGATGCCATTAAAATATGTTATTACAAATCTTAAACACAGTGTCATTTCTTCTTGGGGTTGTTCTGTCAGGTGTTTGTTATCCAAACATGTATTTGTTGTCCGAACATAAAAATCTTTTGCGAAATATTTCTTAGTCTGAACTGTTCATTAACTGATCACCCACTGTATACATCATGACCCCTGCAGATGTAAGTTTTGGATTACGATACCATTAAAAATATTAATTGTTCCACAGCTTAGCGATACATAATGCCTTTCAACAAAATGATAACTTTTTACTTATGAATTTTATTATTTACAGTAACTTTTACAGTTATGAATAAATTATTATGTTTTTTAATAACAGTTATTGAAATCGAATTTAGTAAATCAAATCATTATATTTTATAAATAAACACAAATTCAGTTTAAATAAAGTTAGTTTCACTGTAGTTTAAAATATCTTTTTGCAGTCCTGAAGTTTTAGCAACTTTAACTACAGATGTTGGTCGAATTTTAAGCAAACTTCATCAAATTCAACCAAATGGTACAATAAACTTTTTAACTGGAATAAGAATTGCTCATGTAAGTATTACTTAATGTATTTAATTCTAACTTATTTTGAATTTCAGATTAATTCAAATTGTACCTCTGAATGGATTGATCATATTAATCCTTTTATTTGGCAGTGCTTTTTATAATTCACTTTGTCGGAAATATTGATTGTTTGAATGCTTTGTTGGTTGCTATGACAACAGTTTAAAAAAAATTTTGTTTGAATTTTGAGAAAATTAGAAGAGAACTTATTGGAAAAAAGATAGTTAATCAAACACATTTGATAGAATATGTAAATATAATTAATTTTTTTTTTTATCATAATGAGCAATTTTATATCATAAATGAAGATTCTAAAACTTCATTTTTATAAATTGTTGCAAAGAAACAATTGTTTTTTGTTATTTAGGAAAAGTTGTCTCTGAATTTAACACAGTATGAAAGTATTTGTGTAAACAGATTCAATTAAAACTGTTGTATGAATTTTTATATGAATTCTAAAAGATAAGAAATAAATCAAACAAAAATATTTGAACTTTGCACTATATCCAGAAAGATGAGAAAAATTGCTTAATTTTGGAAACTAAATTAAATTTTTATCCAGTATCATTTTGTTCTTTTATGAGAATGCCATCAGTTGTGAAAATTATCAAGTGTATTAGTTCAATAAATTCAAAAGAGAGAATAACTCTGTGTTCAACAATTTTTAAATTTAAAATTACAGGGACTGTTGTAATTGTTCAGAAATTAATAAAATGAAGTAAAATCAAAATAAATTAAAACAATGGATTAAAAAAGAAATTGAATTAAACAGAACACATTACAACATTAAATATAGACTTGGAGTCATACTTTCAAATTTGACCACAAGTTTGTTCTGAGTATACTGCCTCTCCTCAAATCCTAAATAACTCAGATGGGAAATGTTCTGTAATTGTCTATCAGCTAAAACCAGACCTAGAAAATCAGCTTTCTGTTGACTTGCGAAATATCTATGCAAATAAGATGAAACAATGTAATATAACAAAACCAGGAGTTGGTGCAAACTAGGGTTTCTTTCCCGGGATCCCGTTTTCCCGGGATTCTCGTTGTTTATTCCCTACGAGAAAAATCCCGGGAAATTTAATTTTCCTGGGAAATCTCGCATTTCAATAATAATTTACCATGTAAGGTTTTCTTTCTATTATTTATTATACGAAAAGTTGCATCTTGAAGACTCACCTAAGAGAGAGGTTTCTTGAGGTTTCTTGCTGCATATTATTACCTATGTTTTACAAGTCTCTACTTGTTAGTTCATGTAATATCTATGTATTGTGTTTGCGCATCATTGAACAGCGGAGACTTGCTGAAAGTAAATATCACTCATCGCACTTTAGTTTATTTTTTATTTCATCTTTAGAAGTAAAATAGTATTTTTTTTCCGTAATCATTAAAACTCCCAATGAAATGCTTTATTTTACTTTCATCTTATAATGTAGGAGAACATAAATTAATTGAGCCTAACG